CGGGAGCTGACTGGGGCCGACGCCGCCCTACGGTGGAAACCCGTGCCGAGAAACATCCAGCTTGCCTCCAGGGTGCCCTGAATTACTTGTGTTTCGATGGTTTTGCTATGCGAAGTGCGACGTTCCCGCACCACAAAGCAATGGACGTCCTGGGGTCTCAAGGTTGGGTTTCTTGTGGAAGGTTTCTTGTGGTCCAGCCCCCACAATCTTATTCCCAGCGTCTGCGACCTCCACACTGCAGACAGCAAGGCCGCCCATGACCGACGAGGCCGCGGACAAGCAGCGGGCAAGGCTGCCACAGCCCGAGAGGCAGTGCAAACAGGGGAAGGTGCAGAGGAGGACCGAGGGGATGAAGACGCAGCACGAGGAGCTCAAGAGGCGACGACGTAGGTAAAACAGGAGCATAAGGCGCAGGAGGCCGACCAGGGCGCTCCTGGACGGCCGTGGCACCGGTAGAACAGCTCCTCGCTCAGCCGAAGGAGGCGGAGAAGGGAAGGGGGAGCCCGGCCCTGACCAGGCTAAGGCTGCCCTTGGGGCACCAGGCCCACCTCTACCGACCCAGGCGAAGGGGAGCGACGGAACGGCGCAGGGAGGTGGAGACAAGAGGAGAGGGATTTTATTTTGCCCGCATTGCCTGCATGTCACCACAGCAAGGCTGCTCCGCAGCGTGAGACGGAGTAGCGAAAGGCGGCTGCCAACTCGCACGCGGCCGTGCGCAGAGTACTCATATGAGCCTTGGAACAAAGAGGTAGACGACAAAAAAACGAAGCGGCAGCAGGAGGAGGAGGAGGAGGAGGAGGAGGAGGAGGAGGAGGAGGAGGGGGGGAGGAGGAGGAAGAGGGGGGGGGAGGAGGAGGAGGAGGAGGAGGAGGAGGAGGAGGAGGAGGAGGAGGAGGAGGAGGAGGACTGCCAAGTACGCTATAGGCTTCAAGGCGCCTAAGCTCATCTTTAAGGATGGGGCGACCCGCAGAGTTCGGTGATCCACGACCGCTTGGAAGTCTCATCCGTGAAGTCCTGAGTTTGTGTGGTGCGATAGGTATTCGCATGGGGAAAGGCGGGGGTCGCATGCGAACGCGCCCCTCACAATGCGGAACGTGCGTGCTCCACGCTCTGATTGATGAGCCCTCTGGTGTGGTCAGCACGCCGAATTGTCCGGCGGACAATTACGTGCCCGCACGCGCTCCTCAAATGTATTTGTGAGCACGGTGTCCAACGCCCTCTCCTCCTACTTCCCCGGGGAAGGCAGAATATCCCCATGGGGCCGGTGTGAGAGCAGCATACCCACACGCGTACATGCTACCAAGCATCTCTGCGGGGACCTCGGTCGGTATGGGCCACCAGCCCCGCGGAGTCAACCGATCCGCAGATTGCGCAAACAGCCGCAGGATGGGACGAAACATGTTTTCCACAGACTGCAAACGACCCAGTGAGCATTAAGGCGAAAAGAGGCCAGAGCGGTGAGACGCTCGTCAAGGCAAAAAGCCGGGCCAATTTTCGAGTTGGGGTGTTGAACTCTGGCGAACCGGTCCTAAGAAAACCTTGCGCCATTGCAAGGGAAACCGCGTCCTGGCGGGCATTCTTTACCCCAAAAACGCAAAGCGCCAGTTTCAGAGTAGGTGCCACACTTGCCGCATATAAACAGAATACCATGGGAATTGTTTGCTACGTGCAATAGGTGACCCCCTGGGTTGGCGACCAGAGCAGAGAGGGCTGCAATGTACCCGCGGCACGGCGACACGTTTGGCGCGGGCTTACGGTCGGCCGTGACAAAGCGCAAACATCGCTGACACGCCCAGCGGGTGCGACGCCAAGCCCACGTATGCCCTCCTGGGTTCGCTGGAGCAGCTGCTGAAGTTGCCGCTTCGGGCGGGGCAGGGGGCGGTGGGAATGAGGGCGGGGTCGGGGGGCGGTGGGAACGGGAGCGCCTGGCAAGCAGCCCCAATGCCCGTTTTAAATCCTGGTGCTCTTAGCCGCGCGTTAAGTGGCACGCATGGCTTTGGAGGGGGCGAGCCTCGGGTATAAAAGTAACGCCTAGAGAGAGAGAGAGAGAGGGAAAGAGAGAGAGAGAGAGAGAGAGAAAAAAAAAAGAGAGAGAGAGAGAGACGCGGTCGATGGGAGGCTGCAGCGGGCCTCCAGCGAGGGCGGAACTTGGGGCTTGAAGGTGTCACGGATTACCCCCCAGGGGCGTTGCAACACAGTGTGGCCCTTTTTTGCCCCCCACCGTCTCATCAAGACCGCCCGCGACCGACGCCCCGCAAGCCGTAACCAACCAAGCGAGGGCAAGCACCACCTGGCCCCCCATCGACCCCAACGTCGGCAATCAGGGTCACATCCGTGTGACAGTTACAGAGGATGTGCTAAGCCGGACCAACTTTCGAGTTGGGGTGTTGTCCAGCCGAACGGTAAGGACCCGACCCCCTGAAAATGTAAACCAATGATGCGCGAGTGCCTGACAAAGATCAGCGAAGAAAACGAAGAGCAGAAGACGAACCGATCGTTACCCTGAGGTTGCCATGGTGGTGTGTGGCGCCTTGACGACGCAAGCAGCCGACAACCGCCAAGGGCGCCTACATATGCTACAGTGTGCACAGTGGTGTCCACCGTTTTTGGGGGGTCCTTCGGGCCAGAGGAACAGCCCGAAGACCCCCCCTGGTTTGTGTCGCCTTGTTGGTGCACCCAGAACAGAAAATGACCGCTCGTGGTGGGAGCTCTGGTGCGGGGGGGGGTTCTTCGGGCCAAGCGAATAGCCCGAACAAACCACCTGACTGGCGGTTCCTTGACGACGCTCTTAAGCATCCAAAGGCGAGGCCGTGAGGAGACAAAGCGTCCCTGGTGGCGCGTGGAGCCTTGATGGCGCAACCCGCAGCCAACGGGGGCGCCTGCGCAGGCTACAGTGCACATGGTGTTAGACTCCGTTTTGGCGGGTCCTGGGGGCTAAGGGAACAGCCCGAAACACCCCCCCTGGTCTGTGCCTTGTGGGCGCACCCAGAACACAGAACGTCCGCCCGTGGTAGTGGCTGCATCGAGGGGGGGGTGAAGGCTAAGGGAACAGCCCGAACAACCCCCGTCACCTTGATCATCCGACAGTGGGGCCGTCGTGAGCCACGGTTGCCGAGGTGGTGTGTGGCACCTTGATGGCGCAACCGGCAACCGACAAGGGCGCCTACGTAGGCTACAGTGCGCATGGTGGTGGACACCGGTTTGGGGGGGTCCTTCGGGCCAAAGGAACAGCCCGAACACCCCCCCTGATTTGTGGCGCCTTCTTGGCGCACCCACAAAGGAAAACGACCGTAGTGATAGCCCCGGTGCTGGGGGGGGTCTTCGGGCCAATGGAGCAGCCCGAACAAACCCCCTGGTTTGTGGCGCCGTGGTGGCGTACCCAGTACAGAACCGACCGTCCAGGCGACCTCCCAAAGGGGGTACTACGGGCCAACGGTTGTGGCGCCATGTGAGCAAGTTGTCGCCATAGTGTCTGTGCGTGAGGTGGTGGAGCCCCATTGGGGGGTTGTTTAGTTCTTGGGGCCAGCCCAAATGACCCCCCTTGGCCCGTGTCGCCCCGGTGACGAAACCCCAGCGAGCTCAAGGGAGGTGCTCATCGGAGGCTGCGTGTTCAGACAAAGACCAGCGAAGAAAACGAAGAGCAGAAGACGAACCGATCGTTACCCAAAGGTTGCCATGTTGGTGCGTGGCGCCTTGATGACGCAAGCAGCCGACAACCGACAAGGGCGCCTACATAGGCTACAGTGTGCACAGTGGTGTCCACCGTTTGGGGTGGGGTCCTTCGGGCCAGAGGAACAGCCCGAACAGTCTTTTGCCTGAACATTCATAATTCCTGCAAGATGTTCCGTTGCCTGGTTTGTGTTGCCTTGTTGGTGCACCCAGAACAGAAAATGACCGCTCGTGGTGGGAGCTCTGGTGCGGGGGGGGGGTTCTTCGGGCCAAGCGAATAGCCCGAACAAACCACCTGACTGGCGGTTCCTTGACGACGCTCTTAAGCATCCAAAGGCGGGGCCGTGAGGAGACAAAGCGTCCCTGGTGGCGCGTGGAGCCTTGATGGCGCAACCCGCAGCGAACGGGGGCGCCTGCGCAGGCTACAGTGCACATGGTGTTGGACTCCGTTTTGGCGGGTCCTGGGGGCTAAGGGAACAGCCCGAAACACCCCCCCTGGTCTGTGCCTTGTGGGCGCACCCAGAACACAGAACGTCCGCCCGTGGTAGTGGCTGCATTGAGGGGGGGGTGAAGGCTAAGGGAACAGCCCGAACAACCCCCGTCACCTTGATCATCCGACAGTGGGGCCGTCGTGAGCCACGGTTGCCGAGGTGGTGTGTGGCACCTTGATGGCGCAACCGGCAACCGACAAGGGCGCCTACGTAGGCTACAGTGCGCATGGTGGTGGACACCGGTTTGGGGGGGTCCTTCGGGCCAAAGGAACAGCCCGAACACCCCCCCTGATTTGTGGCGCCTTCTTGGCGCACCCACAAAGGAAAACGACCGTAGTGATAGCCCCGGTGCTGGGGGGGGGTCTTCGGGCCAATGGAGCAGCCCGAACAAACCCCCTGGTTTGTGGCGCCGTGGTGGCGTACCCAGTACAGAACCGACCGCCCAGGCGACCTCCCAAAGGGGTACTACGGGCCAACGGTTGTGGCGGCATGTGAGCAAGTTGTCGCCATAGTGTCTGTGCATGAGGTGGTGGAGCCCCATTGGGGGGTTGTTTAGGTCTTGGGGCCAGCCCAAATGACCCCCCTTGGCCCGTGTCGCCCCGGTGGCGAAACCCCAGCGAGCTCAAGGGAGGTGCTCATCGGAGACTGTGTGTTCTTGTGTGTGTGTGTCTGTGTGTGCGTGTGCGTCTCCTTACAGGCCGCCCCGTGCGTCTTCCCTGAATACTCGACACTGGGGCCATGCTCACCTTCGGCACGGGAAGGAGGAGGAGGAGGAGGAGGAGGAGGAGGAGGAAGCCCCGATGACCCCTCCTTCGCTGCGCGCCCCTCCGCGGGGTCCGCCTGGTAGTCGCCCGCGGGGAAGGGGAGCGGCGCGCTGTGTGTCGAATGCTTCGACTCCGACACTAGGCTGACGGCCTGGCCCGCCCGCCAGGTGGATGACTCATAGCAGCGGCTCCTCCAGACGCCTCCTGCTCCGCCTTGCTCCATCCTGCTCCATCCACTATCCTACATCCTCCATGCGTGCTACGCTGCCTACACCCGCGCCAGTCCGTCGCAGGGGCGATGACGGCAAGCGCACTGCCAGCACGGGCTGAGCCGAAGCCACGCGCCTCGGAATGTGCATGCCCTCAACGATCTGGGCTCACCGCTACGCGCTGCGCGGCCCGGACCCACTTCCGTCAGACCGAAGCACGTTGACGGCGAGTGACTCCTAGGAGCCTGTAGGGCAATCTTGGGGGCCTCTTGGGCCGTCTTGGACGCTGCGAACGCTTAAGAGGTAGATATGCGATAACTACACGCTTCCCTACGGGACTGGAGCGAATCTTGCCTCTTGGGGCCCTCCTGGGGGCCTCCTGGAGGCCTCTTGGGAGCGCCCTGGGGGCCTCTTGGATCCTTCTCTCCGCTCCTGCGCCGCATCGCTGCCCTGGCCTGGCCCACGACCACCCCAGGAGGGCGCGGCGACGCAAGAACGTCTGGTCGGGCATGTCCTCATACATTGAGCGGTGCAGCAACGCCCCTACCCTGGGTTACAAGTGCGTAGTCCGTAAACCCCCTGGGAGCTCCCAAAGGCCAGAGACCCGCCAGGACGCCGCGCGACACGCGCGATGTGCAGGGTTTACCCTGTCAGCCCATGGGAGGTTAAGCGCACAGCGCCTCGTCAACCAGGGTAGGGGCGTTTGTAACGCCCTTGAATACAGGCGGATCAAAAAATGCACCAAAATTGTCAAACATGGTAGAACAATCGTCCTCATACTATTTCTTTGACTTTTCTTGAATTTTCCTCCTGAAGAGGGACGTGCCCGGCTTAGCAGTAACGACATCAACAGCCAACCGAACCAACCCGAACGCGACCGACCGCAGCGCGGCCGAGCCGACGGAACTGCGGACACCCTCGGGGCCGAGGCCACCTCTGGCGCGAGGGGGAACGAGACAGTAGGAGCCCGACCACATGAAACCTTCCACAAGAAACCCGACCCTGGAACCTAAGGGCGCCCCTGGTTTTCTGGTGGGAACATCACGCTTCCCATCGCGAAACCATCGAAACCCAGGGCACCCTGGAGGCAACCAGGGTGCTTCTTGGCATGGGCCCCCACTGTAGCGAAGCTGCACGCTCCTGGACTGGGCGGCCCATCGGGCCCGTGACATCGTCGATCGATGGAGGGAGGAGGAGGAGGAGGAGGAGGAGAAGGAGGACGCCTGAGCCCATCCCGTCTCAACGTTGCCCTAGACACCTCTGGCGACACCCGCGATCTTCCTCTTCTCGGGGAGACAAAAAACACCGTCAGAGCAACTCCCCCAGCCATCGCTCGGATGTGCGCAAGATGAGCCAGGATGCTCCTCGATGGTCCTTGGCGAACGATGCCGAGGACCAGGACTCCGAGGCGAATCCAGCCGTGGCGACGAAGGGCCCTCGAGTCCGCGAGGTCGTCGTCGGTGTCGTCGCCGTCGTCGCCGTCGTCGTCGTCGTCGTCGTCGTCGTCGTCGTCGTAGTCGTCGTCCTCCCTTCGGGTCGGCGACACCGGTCGCAAGGCCTTCGCAATGCACACGTCCGAGCGATGCCGATGACCAGGGCTCCGAGGCGAATCCAGCCGTGGCGACGAGGGGCCCCTCGAGGACGAGCCGCGCGGCATCGGCATCCTCTCCTTCGCTAACGCCCCCCAGCCCGTGCCGTGGCCCTCCCTGGGGTAACCACTGGGATCCACCAAAGGAGGGGTGACCCTGAGGGGGCGCATGAGTTCGCTCCGCTTGTGCACCGCCCTCTGCGCATTTTCTTAGGGTGGAGGGCTCAGGGTGAAATCCAGATGGGCTTTCGCACCTCGAAATCCAATCCGTCCTTCTGCAGATTCAAACCTCGAAAGTCAGTCGAAACGGCATTTCGAATTTCACCCTTTGCCCTCCACCCAAAGAAACTACTCGGGAACTGCCGCAAACAGATACCCCCCGCATGCACCACCTATCGGCAATTACCGGGAGCTGCCCGCGGCTGGGGGGCATCGGTTTTGGGCGGTTCGGTGCAAGAACTGATCGAACTCACACACGCAGAGACACACAGAGACACACAGAGAGACACACAGACACAGAAACGACACACACAAACGACACACACAGACGGCACACACACAGACACACACAGACACACAGACGACACAGAGACGACACAGAAACGACACACACAGACGGCACACACAGACGACAAACACCGACGACACACACAGACGACACACACAGACGACACACACACAGACGACACACACAGACGACAGACACAGGCGACACACACAGGCGACACACACAGACGACACACACAGACGACACACAGAGACGACACACACACACAGACGACACACAGACACACAAACACACAGACGACACACACACACACAGACGACACACTCACAGACGCCACACACAGACGACACACACAGACGACACACACAGACACACAAACCTACAGACACACTGACACACAGACACACAGACACACAGCCACACAGCCACACAGCCACACAGACACACAGACACACAGACACAATGACACACTGGCACACAGACACACAGGCACACAGGCGCACAGGCACACAGACGCACAGACACACAGACACACAGAGACACAGCCGCACAGGCGCACAGACGCACAGAAACACAGACACACAGACGCACAGACGCACAGCCGCACGGACGCACACACGACAGACACATGCGCACAGACGCACAGACGCACGGACGCACAGACGTACAGATGCAGAGACGCACGGACGCACAGACGGACAGACACACAGACACAGACGCACAGGCGCACAGGCGCACAGCCACACCTCACACAGCCACACCGACACACAGACACGCAGACACACAGACACACAGACACACAGACACACAGACACACAGACACACAGACACGCAGACACACGGACACACAGACACACAGACACACAGCCACACAGCCACATAGACACACATAGCCAAACACAGCCACACACAGCCACATATAGACACACTCAGGCACACACAGCCACATACAGCCACACACAGCCACACGCAGCCACACGCAGCCACACACATTCACACACACAGACACACACAGACACACACAGCCACACACAGACAGACTCAGGCACGCACACACAGACACACACACACAGACACACACACACACAGACACACACACAGACGCACACACAGACACACACAGAAACACACAGACACACACAGACACACGCAGACACACACAGACACACACAGACACACGCGGACACACACAGATACACACCGACACACGCAGACACACACAGCCTCACAGACACCCAGACACACAGCCACACAGACACAAAAGACACACAGACACACAGACGCACACACACGCAGACACACAGACACACAGACACACAGACACACAGACACACAGACACACAGACACACCACACAGCCACACAGCCACACAGCCAAACAGACACACAGCCAGACAGCCAGACAGCCACACAGCCACACAGCCACACACACAAGCACACACTCACACACGCACGCACGCACGCGCACACACACACACACAACACACACATTCACATACAACACACACACACTACACACACCACACACAATACATACACCACACACACCACACACACCACACACACACCACACACACACACAACACACACGACACACACACACAACACAACACGACACACAGACACACACACAACACACACAACACACACACACACACAACACACACACTCACACACAACACACACACACACGCACACGCACACGCACACGCACACACCCACACCCACATCCACACCCACACCCACACACACACACACCCACACACACACACACACACACACACTCCGGGGCACCCCCCCTTTGCGGGACACCGAAACCAACAGGAACTACTACCGCTGCTCCCCGGACCTCTCCCAGGGTGCGTTCCGACCAGGATTTCGAGGCGAATCCAGCAGTGGCGACGAGTGCCTCCCAGGAGGTCCAAGAAGGGGGAAAACGAGGGAAGGGTAGTGGCACCGGTACCTTTCCCTCCTCCGATCGTTGGCGCCTAGGTGAACAGGGCTCTGCGTAGGCACTCCTCTGTCACGCAGCTCAACGTTCTGCGCCGCGCGAAGCGCTGTCGTCTTTGCGCTCCCTCGCCGCCCCCCCCCACTGCAGAGGGCAGAGGGACAGCGTCCCGGACCGGGGCAGCAAAACGCGAGGCGCGATCCTCTTCGCGCTCCCGTGAGATCCTGGCGTCTCGATCTTCTAGAGCCCGGCGTTTTCGCCCAGACTCGGGCGTGTTCGCCCTCCTCTGAGCCCCACACCCCTGGGCGCCAACTCTCACTGGCGCCCCGAGCCCGGCGTCTTGGCCGCCGCAGACTCCAGAGGAGGGCGCAGCGCGGGCCAGAACAAGGGGGGTGGGCGGGCCCAGCAGAGCTGGCCCTCGGGGAGCGGTACCTCCTCCTCCTCCTCCTCCTCCTCCTCCTCCTCCTCCTCGATCGGTACATTTTCCTCCTCTCGCCATCGCTCGGACCTCCATTCCCCGTGCATGCTGCGGTTTCGTGCGTGTTTCCCCTGCAATCGCGAGCGGCAAACATATCCACTCCGGGCCGCGATCCCGCGGATACGCGGCAGCATGGACACGTCCCGCGCGGGGCATCCACGAAAAAACGCTCTGTATCAACGGCGTCGCGGCCAAGGGGCCCGGCCCACGAGGCCGTGGAGATGGGTATGCTTGTGTCCCACGATGCAGGCTGCTCCAGGATGCTCCTCACTGGTCCCCACCAAGGGAAAATGGAAGCGACCGAGCGATGCCACGTCCTCTGATTCCCATCCCCAGGTGGGCGCCAACTCCCACCCTAGAAAAATAAAAACAAATCATAAACATAAACTTTGCGCGCCAAAGAGGGGGATCTAGCGCGGCTCCAAGACATCCGCGCGGAGTGCCAAACATTTATGTCTATGCCGCTCTTTCCTCCTTCGAGCGATGCCACGTCCTCTGATTCCCACCCCCTCGGTGGGCGCCAACTCCGGGCCAATGCGACCCTGGCCCTGCAGGATCCTGCAAGATTCGGCGCGCTGACTGAACACAACCCTTTTCATTGATCCCCGTCTTTTGAGTCCCGAACGTCGTCTGGTTCCCACCCCCTTGAGCAGGGACCGACCGTCCCGGCAATCCTACAGGCCTACCACGAGATCTCCCCAGAACCCACATATGTTCTGATAACAAAAACAATGCTCTTAGAACAAAGGCCCGATGTGTTGAAAGAAGACAGCCCCAGCCAGAAGTGTTCTGAGAACACTTCGTGCAACTCACAAAAGGTTCTTAGAACATTCTTCGGTGGGCCTATAGGCGAGCCAGGACGCTTCGCCACTGCTTGACGAACGCCCTCTGGCTCCCACCCCCGTGGTGGGCGCCAGCTCCCACCCGCGCCCCGAGCCCCCGGGGCGCCTGCGGAGGCACCCCGCCGGCGCGCGGCCCCGCGGCGCGGAGGGTGGCGAGCGCGGCCGCGGCTGCGGTCGCGGCGCAGCCCGCGCCCAGCAGGCGCCTGCCGCGGCGCGGCGGAGGGGCCCCACTCCGGCGGCGCGCACGCAAAATCAACCCGTGTGAGTGTGAGAAGGATGCGCGGTGCGGGTGCAGGGGCCTTGAGGCTTCTCGAGCGGGGCGCGGCCAACGGAAGTGGCTAAGGATGGGCCGAGGAACCGAGGAGGCATGGATGCAAGGGTACCCTCGGGAAGGTTGCCCGTGCTTACTATGCGGGTCGCCTGTATGGGGGAGGAAGGCTTCTCAGCAGGAAGCTGCTTCTGAGAAGGCGCCAGCCCCAACTACATCTACAAATAAGGCCCGCGTCTTCTGAGAAGCAGGGGTGTTTCTGAGAGACCTTCTTCCCCCCTCCACCTGCCCCCCTCTGCGCGTGGCCGACCACTATGAGATCGGTACGATCGGAGTGGGTCCGGAGTGGGCCCCACGATGAGATCGTAAGACGAAGCCAGGACGAAGATAACGATGTCTCGGGCGCCGCGGCCCTGTCAGAGCGTGCAATAACGCTCTGAGAGCGCTCCAGAACGCTCCGGAACGGCTTTATCCTCGTATAATAAGGATGCGCGGTAAGGATGCAAGGGCCTTGGAGGGTCATGTCAACGTTCTTCGAACGAGGTTTGCCAGCGAAGGTCGCTAAGGATGGGCCTAAGGGGGGCAATGATGCAGGGGTAACCTTGGAATATCCCTCATCCTTACTATGCGGGTTGACGGTACGATCGGAAAAGGTCCGTGCTGTTTGCAGAATGTTGTTTGCAACCGGCACCCCGGGGGGACACCCTGGGGGGCGGGCGGGGACCTCGACACAGCTCTCCGCCCAGCCCCGAGGATGCCCGACGAGGACAGTGTCGTGACCCCCCCAGGCCCAGAAGGCGCCGATCGCAAATCACACCCTGGCGAAACCACACCCATTGTAATCGCCATTTGTGCCAGTCTTGCGCAGGACTCCCTGTCGGTGTTGCCGCGGACGTTGTCAATTTGAGACACCAGGTTGCCTGCCCAGCAGCGGCCGTCTCGTCGGTCTTGAACAACGTTTGCTGTTGAGCATCGTACCCATTTTCTCCGAATCCATTTCGGGCGTCCATGTGTGAGGCCTTCCAGCTGGGGGTCTGAGTCGGATGGGGCGGGGAAATCGCAGCGCATCGCCGATGTACCGGCGACGGCGAAATGGAGAAAGCTGGGCTTCGAGTCGAGCCGCCTCGCCGATGCATCGGCGATGCGGAGTGATCCTCCAAACCCATCTGCTCGGACCCCCTTGCTTGGCGGCCTGGATCAACGGAGAAGAGGCCAACGAGCTCATGCAATGCTGATCGGTGGCCCCAGCATCAGATGACAAACGATAAAAACAAAACTTTCGAAGGTCGGCGCTGATTTCCTTGGCCGGCGCTGGACAAACCCTCGCCACGACCCCTCGGCGGCGCCTCTGGCGAGCTGCGCGTGTCAGGCAGGTGGTGGCTTAGCGCCACCCCAATAGAATCGCGCGGGCCCCAGACAGTTTATGATTGTGTAGTTGTGTGGTCGTCGGTGTCCCTGCCGCCAGTACCCAAAAGTAAACAGTTCTTCGGCCTTCGACTGCCATTGATGACGGTTCCAAATTCGAGGGTGATGTTAGGACCATCGCAGCTTTATTCTGAATCCCCTCGGGCAGCCCATGTAAGCAGATAGTGGGCCAAATCCCCCAAATGAGATCCTCTGGAACAACCGGCCAACAACGCGACGGCCCTCCACTCATGTTTGTTCACGCGAGGTTATTTCGAGGAATAATTTTGTTGTAAACACCTTCTAAGAAAGTCGTGGCCCTGGGGCACCGCAAACTGCAGAAAGCGGGCATGGGGCAGCCGAAGATGACAAAATGCGCACCATACAGGACCCCCACACAGAGGTCCCTTTTGCGAGCGGCATACGATGCATTCGCGGCATGACTTCCGCTCCTGCTCAAGCCAGACCAGAAGATATGATATCCGACAGTATCACATCAGACCAGACCACATCGCTCAAACAGCCAGAAACATCCGATTGCACAGACCACACAGGCCAGAAGAAGCCACGCCGGATGGGGACAGGGAATTAGCTACACAAAGGTGGCAACCTCTTCCTCACACTCCTCCCACGCTCCCCCGGCAGCAGACCTAACCGCTCATTGTGCTGGGCCTCCTCCTTCTCCTCCTCGTCCTCCTCTCCCTCCTCCTCCCCTTCCACCTCATCCCCCCACCCATCCACCCACCCAACTCTCCGCTCCTCATCCTCACCATGTCCTTCTTCTTGATTGCCCCCTCCTCCTCCTAGCCGCCGACCCCTTCTGGGTCTCTAGGCGTGTGAGATGCTTGTCCCCCCAATCCCCCCCAGGGCCCCAAAACCAGAAATGTGACCCCCCCCGCCCAGCGCGAACGCGCCTAGGGGGGAATAGAGGGCCCCAAGAGGAGCCAAGAGGGCCCCACGGGGCCCTCAAGACGGTCCAAGAGGGCCCCGAGTCGTCAAAATATCGTTCCAAGACGCCCAAGGTGTCTTCCAGATGGCCCACGATGCCTCCAAGAGGCTTCCAAAGAGGGCCCAACAAGGCAAAATTCCGTGAGTTCCCTTGGGTTTTTGCAGAGATTCTGGCGTTCTTGCCTTTTCGCTTTCCCGTCGCTCCACGGCGGCCCATCCACAGCGGCCCAAGAGGCCATCAACAGGGCCCCAAAACGGCCCACGAGGGCCCCAAAGTGGCCCAAGAGCCCGCCAAGACGGCTCCAAGAGAGGGCCCAGACGGGGGGGGGGGCCGAACGGACATTTAGGAGGCCTCCAGGAAGACCTAAGAGGCTCCACGAGGCTCCCAAGAGACCCCAAGTGGACCCCAAGAGGCCCCAAAGCTGCCCCACCCCCCCACCCACACGGCCCCGAGACCACTCAAAAAGAAGCCCAAGAAACATCCCAGAGAAGTTTGGCCCACGATCCGGACACTGTGGCGAGATGGGCCGACGACCATTCGATCCGCCGCCCCCTGTTGATTCATCACAGGGGTGCCTGGCGTGCTGAATCCTTCCGCTTTTGGTTTTGGTTCTTTTCCCGAACGAACTCTCCCTGGGGCTTCGGCCCGTCCCGCCGGCCACCCGAAAGGGACCTCAACGATCGCAAAAAATCGTCCAAGACGGCTCCAGATGGCCTCCAAGATGGCCACGTTGGCCCAAGATGACCTCCAAGATGGCCTCCAAGTCCACCAAAGATGGTCCAAGATGGTCTCCAAGACGACCCGAGAGAGTCCACGATGCCTTCAAGTTCGTCCATGAAGCCTCCAAGACGGCTCAAGATGGTTCCAAGATGGCCTAAGACTGGCAAAGAGTCCCCCAAGAGGCCTCCAAGACGTTCTCCAGGAAGGCCCGAAAGGGCAAACATCATTGATTGTCCTATGGTTTTTGGAGGATTTTGGCATGTTCTTCCTTTCAGCTCTCCGACGGCCGAAGACGGCCCAAGAGGCCCTCAACATCGCCCCAAGAGCGCCCAGGAGGCCTCCAAGATGGCCCCATGACAGGCAAGGAGGCCCCCAAGAGGGCCCCCAGAAGACCCCAAGACGGCCCAAAAGGCCCCCAAGACGCCCAAGATGGCCTCCAAGACGGCCAAGATGGCCTCCAAGATGCCTCCAAGACGGCCAAGAAGGCCTCCTAGACGGCGAAGGTGGCCCCAAGATGCACCCAAGACGGCACCAGATGGCCTGAAGATGGCCGTAGACTGCCCAAAACGCCCGCCAGAGGCCTCCAAGACGGCCCAAGACCCCCCAGGCCTCCAAGACGGCCCAAGACCCCTCCAAGACGTCCTCCAGGAGGCCCAAAGCTCGGACACCACCTGGTCCGATAGCTCGCCCGACTCCGTGTTCCCCGAAGGCTTTCGAAACCCACTCGGGAAACGCGTGGCCCGATAGCTTGGCCAAGCTCAAACCCAACTTTCGGCCACGCAGGCGCTTCCAAACAGGCAGGGGGCGGCGGTGATTCGCCGTAGGCGTCTTCGATATTTGCCCAAACAACGCCTGAAGATGCCGAGGAGGATGACAAAAACTCCGAATACCGAAAACCTCCACAATCGATGAAACATCTGGCGCCTCCCTCTTCCTCTTCCTCCTCTTCCTCCTCCTCCTCCTACTCCTGTTCCTCCTCCTTCTCCTCCTCCTCTTCGTCGTCGTCCCCCTCCTCCAATATTCCGAAATGTGTTTCCTCCATGTCGGGCCTTTCTCGGGCTGTCAGAAACGGATCAAGGATGACATAATGCGCCCCAGGGGTGCTGGGATCGCCCCGAAAGGCCGCCTGAAACCCCAATTAGGGCCCGACGACCAGATCTTTCTTTCCGTCTTTCCCCTCCTCCTCCTCCTCCTCCTCCTCCTCCTCCTCCTCCTCCTCCTCCTCCTCCTCCTCCTCCGCCTCCCCCCCCCTCCCTCCCCCTTCCCCCTATGCAAGGGCGCCTAACTTCGCGCTGCGCGCCGTGCGACGCGCGGATAACTTCGCCCTCTCGCGCCGCCCCCAATGGGAGAGGAGGAAGATGAGGAGAACGCGGAGCCGCACCGCGAAGCGCGACGCGGGAATCCCTTCGCGCCCTCGAGGGCGCGCTTGGCTGTCGGGCTGCCAGCGGTGATCAGTGGGCGATCGGGGGTCGATGCGCTCCCCGTCTGAGCCTACAGTAAGGGCCCGACCACAAGAACCTCCCAGAAGAAACCCGACCCAGAGACCCCAGGACGCCCATGGATTTTTGGCGTGGGAGCGTCGCGCTTGCCATCGCAAAACCATGGACAACCAGGAAACGCAGGGCACCCTGGAGGCAAGCAGGGTGTCTCTTGGCATGGGTCTCCACTGACCCAAACGTTGCCTTAAGACGGGCGAGTCCCTCTATAAGGGGAATATGCAGAAATAGGACAATTAGTCCGGGGACTACTTTTCTATTATTCCCGACCTAGGCTCTGCCTAGAAGGGTTCTTACTCTCTTTCTTAAAGGGGCCGGGCACTGCAGATCGCCCCGGGCGGTTCCCCCAGTATCCGCCCCGCGGTTCCCCCAGTTACGTCCCCTTAGCTTAGCGTTGCTTACCTCATCTTAGCTTAGCCTAGCTTAAGTTAGCTTAGCTTAGCTTAGCCTAGCCTAGCCTAGCTTGTTAGCCTAGCTTAGCTCAGTTTAGCCTAGCCTCGCCTAGCTTAGCTTTACCTTGGCTTAGCTCAGCTTAGTTTAACGCAGCATAGCAGAGCAGAGCAGAGCATAGCATCGCATATCATAGCATAGCATCGCGCAGCATAGCATACCGCAGCATAGCATAGCGCAGCCTAGCATAACATAGCACATCATAGTATAGCGCAACATAGCATAGCATAGCATAGCATAACATAGCGCAGCATAGCACAGCGCAGCATAGCACAGCACAGCACAGCACAGCACAGCATAGCGCAGCATAGCACACCAAAGCATAGCGCAGCATAGCATAGCGCAGTACAGCATAACCTAGCGCAGCATAGCATACCATAACATAACATCGCGCAGCATGGCATATCATAGCATAGCATAGCGCAGCATAGCATAGCATAGCATAGCGCAGCGTAACATCTCATATCATAGCATAGCGCAGCATAGCATAGGATAGCGCAGCATAGCATAGCGCAGCCTGGCATACCCTAGCATAGTATAGCATAGCGCAGCATAGCATAGCATAGCATAGCATAGCATAGCATAGCATAGCATAGCATCAAAGCAAAGGCAAATCAACAGCAGCAACAGCAAAGCAAAGCACAAGCAACGCAAAGCAAAGCAAAGCAAAAACAAAATCAAAGCAAAGGCACAGCAAAAGCAATGTGCGACAGGTGCCGAGCTAGCCTCGATGGCAAGACCGGAGCCCCCGCAAGCAGTGCTGAACAGCCTGCAGCTCTTGCAGGAGCCGCGAGCAGTGTTGAACCTAGTGCAAGCAGTGCTGAACAGCCTGCAGCACTTGCAGGAGCCGCGAGCAGTGCTGAACAGCCTGCTGTCGCTGGGTGCACAGCAAAGCAAGACAAAGCAAAGCGCAGCATAGCATAGCATAGCATAGCATAGCGTAGCATAGCATAGCATAGCATAGCCTGTACCGGCGTTTACTATTACTACTAATCTTGCTCTCCTCGGGGCTCCAACTCCTAGGTAGGGTCGCTCTGGGATAATTTTTGACTCAGTTTTGGGTATTTGTTGTGCTTTTCGCCGAGAATCCGCCTGTTGGGGGACATGCCCGACCCAAACGTTACCCCCGAGGGCGCGCGAGAGCATCGCGTGTCTCGCCCGGCGGCGCCTCCGCCACGGGGGCGCGCCGCGCCCGGGCGCGGCGGCCCCGAGCGCGGGGCCCTTGGGCAGGGGCAGCGCGGCGGCGGGCCGCCCGCCCGCCCCCCCCCCTCCGAGCGAGAGCGCCGCCGCCGCCGCGGCTGCCGCAGCCGTCGCCGTCGCCGACGCCGTCGCCGCCGTCGGCGCCGTCGCCGCCGTCGCCGTCGTCGCCGTCGCCGACGTCGCCGTCGGCGTCGGCGTCGGCGCCGTCGCCGTGCGCGTCGCCGCCGTCGACGCCAGCGTCGCCGTCTTCGGACGCTTGCTGTACGATGAACCCCCCGTCAAGCAATACACGAGTCCTGAACACAAAGCGCACGATGCGACTGCGTTCGTTCACACAAATCGTGAGTCGATTCGAACGCCCCGGGAGGAATCCCCTCTGTTGTCCCTGGACGCCAATGAGAACCTGGGCTTCGGATGAACCACGCTGTTAACCGCGACCCCAGCTCCAACAGAGAACCCGAGTCTGAACCGGACACGAATAGCAGCCCCGAGTCTCCCCGTTCGATGGGCGAACAGAGTGACTGGGAGGCCAAGCTCGGCGCGCGATGCGGTGCACTCAGCCAGCGCAATGCGCAACACTTCCCACACTTCCGCTCTCCTCGTCGCCCTCTTCTCGCTCGTGCCCTCGCCGCGCGCGCCCACCCAAAGCCCCATCCACCACCTCCGCCTCCCTCCCGCACACGCGCGACATAGCAGTTCGAATGCCCGCCTGGGCGACATGGCACAAGCGCCCCTGCCAACATGGCACGGATGAAGGGAACACGGCAGAAACATAGACGTTCGACGGTCCCCGCGGATTTCTTGGATCTGCGCTTGAACCCCCTCCCTGGCGCGCGGATCGCGCCAGGGGCGGCGCTGGAGGCACCGCCAGGGGGGCCCAGCGCAGATCCAAGACATCCGCGCGGACCGTCGTAAGTTTACAGTCAGACGAACATCCTTCAAGACCATGAGACCCTCCGTCGGCCACAACAAACAGAACATCCAAGGGTACCGACCCTCCCCAGGACGCACAAGAGCATCCAACAAACACGAAGAACACTGGGGTACCCTTCCCGAACCAAGCTCGATCTTATACCTCGGCCCGACTGTATGTTTATGCCGTTGGCTCTTCTCCGATTGCAGCAGGCGGCTCCGTGCATCGCGAGGATCCTCGGAACGGCCTCGTCGGCTGGCCGTCACGCACGAAGCTCCCAGGCAAAGCACAGACGTCATCAGCACCAAGGGCACTCAAGTACCAGGGAGACGTAAGACTCGGGTTGGGGGGACTCGGGTTGTGCTGACGGGACCCGTGAGGAAACTGACGAGGCTGAGCCTGAAACTTGACGCGAGCGCCCGCCGCAGACATCCCACGAAAACTGGAGCGTCAACGTCCAGGACGGGCTCGTCAAAAAGCATATGCAAACCAGAGTTCTGGCGAACTCGAGTTTTACGTTTCCCCGAAAGCAGTGGGAATCTGCGACCAAATCCCCCTACTAATGACAGAATGACCACGAAAGGCGCACAACTGTGCCGGGGCTGTGGACATCTACGGAGAGCACATCTTTCTGGCAGAACCGCCTGTGCCGTAGGCACTGCGTGGAATGTCCTCTGGTCCCTCCGAATTCTCTGCGCTGAATATCCGCCACCGTGCCTCTGGGCACGGAGTGGGCGTGTCCTCAGGTCATTTGCCTCAATCCTTCATTCGGGGATGGACAGAACCCCCTTTCGTAAAACGTGGCTTAGTGAAAACGACCTCGGGCCCAAACCTGGCGGGCGCAAGCCTGGAAAATGACGGCCGCGGCACCTTCTCGAGAACCGAAAACGGACAATTCACTAATCGACGTGTCAGGGTGGGGGCTCTGTCCACCCCCGATCAATCTTAACTCCTGAGGAACAGGGCTGGACCTAGACGTTGTTATTCGTTTTGTTCTCGTTTTGTTGTTCGTTTTGCGCTACCTGTTTTCCTGTGCCTCCCTGCCAAAACGAACAACAAAACACAGCCGAAGTCCAGCAAAACAGCGCTTAGGTCCAGCCTTGCAAGGTCCCTGCCAGATCCTGCAGGATCCTGCGCCCAAGCCCGGGTCAGTGCACCCCTGACCGAGAGTGGGTGGCGAAAGTGGGTGGCGAAACTCGGTGGCGAAAATGGATTGCTTGTCGTGAATAAGCTGTACTTCGTCGTGTTTCAGTTTTCTCTTGTCGTGTTCCATTTTTCTCAGTCGTGAGAAAACCCTTGTTTTGACCCCCGTTTGCATGGACCCCCGTCTCTCGCGCCCCGAGGCGAGCGCGGCACCGCGGAGCCCGCCTCGGGGAGTCCCGAGAGCACCAGCGGCGCGTAGCGCCTGTCGTGCTGCTGGCCCGCCCCGGTGGTGGGGCCGGGGGCGGGCTGGCCAGGCGCCTGCGGGCGGGGGGCGTGCCCGCAGGCGCCGCAGGCGCCGCTCGGCCGCGGACTCTGCAAACACGGCCGAACGTTCGTAGTCGTCGTCCTCGACCGCGACCCCCCTGCGACCCCCCCCGCGACCCCCCCGCCATCTACCCCCCATTGCTTTGACTGAAAAATCGGCGCCTGCGGCGGGCCCGCTGTGCAATGCGTAAGAAATCGGCGCTCGGGCGCAGCGCCCCCACAGGACAGGATTACAGCCGAAACGCTGTCAAAGATGCAGTTTTTCCATAAGTGAAGCTTCGATGTCCCGTGGAAAACAAAAGGAAAACCTAAGACAGAGTGCAAGACAATGAAGGAACACTGAGGCCCTCCCCAACGGCAAGGGTTCCTCCTTTAGCGGCCCGACTGTAGGTGGCCAGGCATGGGAGCCTCAGGCAGTCGTACGAGCGCCCAGTCGGTGAGATTCTGTAGCCCCCACGCAACCCACTAGATCCCACCAGATCCCGCTTGCGGTCCCACTGAATACCACGAAAATCCCACGGGGGTACCCAGTGAATCCCACCAGATCTCATCAAACCATCACGTGAGAAACCCTTTGGGTCGAACAAAAGCTCCCATACTTGGCCACCTGCCTGCCATCCCTCAGACGCCCATTCCCCGTGCATGCTTCGGCTCTTCGCGCGTGCATTCTTCGCGTGATGGTCCGAGATGCCCCTCGATTCGGGGGCGCGCAACCATGGATTAGCGATCCATGGATTAGGCGCGCGGTCGCCAAATCCATGGATCGGGGAAGGTGCCCTCCCCAAAATGCGGCCGGTGCCCCCTCATTCGGCGGCGGGAATCCGCGATTTCCCATGGAAACGGGACCCGTCGCTAGTCCACGCCCCCGTGACCCATGCTTGCGACCGCCTGGTCGATGGCCCTCGCCGAGAAGAAATGCACATGCCCGAGCGATGCCACACCGAAACGGGGCTCCCTCGCCTCGAGCGTGCTGTCCTCGGCAGGCGGGGCGCACCAGAGGGAGGAGGAGGAGGAGGAGGAGGAGGAGGAGGAGGAGGAGGAGGAGGAGGAGGAGGAAGGAGGAGGGAGAGGGGGGAGGAGGCGGCGCTCCCCCGCAGGAGGCGGGCGCGGCCCGGCCCGGCCCGCCAGGCGGGGCCCCCGCTCGGGGGCCGCTCGGCCGCAGAGGCTGCTCGGGCCCCCGAGGGGGCGCCCTCGCGCGGAGCCGAACTTTGGCACTCTGGCGGCAGAAGGCCTCGACAGCGCGAGAGCATCGTGCTGTGCCGCACTTTTTTGAAGGAGCCCTGGGACACACACAACATAGACACAACTAACAAGATTCCCCATATGTTCATATATGTTGGGGGTTTTGTCTTCGACCTCACTTCCCATATGTTCGCATATTTTCCGGGGAATCGACGATTAATTGTGTCGTGTTTTCCCCCTCCTGAAGAAGGCCCTCAACAGCACGTGAGCATCGTGCTGCGCCGCACTTTTTTCGTCGGCGGCGAAGCAGAGGCAGTCCGCTCCAGCATGTGGCAATTCGGGGCAGCCGAATAGCAAATAGGCCGGCGTGCAAGGAGAGGGGCAAGGACGAGGGCGGCCGCGCGGGGGGAGGGGGAGGAAAGAGCGCTCAGACGTGGAAGAGTGTGCTGTGCCGCACGCGCGGGAGACCATAATAAGACGAAGCCAGGACGAGGACGAACCCAGGCGAGGACAAGTTGAGAACCTCTGCGATCCGGCGGCCCTGGAGGATGTGTCGAGCGCCGCGGCCTTCTCAGAGCGGACTTATACTCGTCCTATGCCCCGTCCGACATAAGGGGAGACTATACGCAAGAGCACACGGAGGAGCATGCAGGAGGCCATGGGCCACCGACTCCGGATCCAGAGAGGCTCACGCTCGGTCTCAGACACGCCCTGGAGACCCTGACAACCGAGCTGCTCCGGGACACTAAGTTTAGGTCGGGCATGTCCTCCTACAAACGGAGTTTGGAGGAAGAACAACAACTAATCAGGACACGTTCAAACAGTAGTCAAACAGAGAAAAAGATCGCCCCCAGGCGATGTTTTTTTTTGAACTATCTTTGCACACTCCTTCTGGGACAGGGCCGGCTTAAAACTAAGTCTCCAAGTGTCGCGCGTCGCGCCCTGCGACGCGCGATCGTCTGCTCCGCGAGGCCGCCCTGTGGAGGAGGGCAGCTCGTCGGCCTAGGCCACGACGCGCGCAGGGCCATTGGCGCTCCGCGGGTGGCCCAGAGCACACTGTTTGCTCAGGGCCTCGAGTGTCTAGGCGGGAGGGGAGGGAGGAGGAGGAGTAGGAGGGGGGAGGAGAACGAGCAAGGAGGAGGATGAGGAGGAGGCAGAGGAGCAAGGAGGAGGAGGAGGCGGAGGAGCAAGCAGGAGGAGGAGGAGGAGGAGGAGGAGGAGGAGCAAGGAGAAGGCGAAGGAGCCGTTCACCCAGCTCACTGGCCCCCCGCGGCGGCATTATTGTTGGTAGATCTCCGGGTGACCCACCTGTTTGGGTCCTGGGTGCGGGGCAAAAAAATGCTCGCCCGATCATCGGTGTCCTCGTTTCGCCCCCAGAGCACATGTGCTGACCACGTCCTGAGGCCAACGACACTCGAGAGCCGCGGCGGTCTGCAGCACACGCTCCCATACTTAAGCTAAATCGAGAGCTTGCCCCGGGTGCTCTCACGAGGCTCGAGCCCAACCTGCCTTCCTCAGACCAGCTCCCCGAGCTTCGCCGCCCCCAAGAGGATGGCGCCGATCCTCAGAGCTTTCAGTCAGCCCTCCGGGGAGGGAGTGGCAGCCACCCAGGAGAGCCCAGAATCGAATCGATACGTCGGATCGGCGATCGAAATTAATCAAATCGGCGGAAGTCGGCAGCCGAGTAGGGAGAAATCGAATCGGCAGAAATCAGTAGGCTTGTAAGCCTCCGCTGATAAATCGGAATCCGAATCGGAAACTGGAGTCGAATCGGAATCGGAAACCGTCGGAATCGAATAGAACTGAATCGGAAGAATCGAAACGAGCCCTGCCACCGTGCTACCACGAGGAACTCCACAGGAAGAACGAAGGGGCTCCCCTGGCCACGGCGAGCCTCGGCTACGAAAAGGCTCCCCCGACTTATAGACCCAGGGAGCGACACGGAGGCCAGAGCTGCTCCTAGGCCCCAAGTGGTCCATATTTCAGCGTTTGACTGCATTCGGGGAAGAAAGAACTGCAAACGCGTACTGAAACTTTCGACGGTCCGCGCGGATTTCTTGGATCTGCGCTGGACCCCCCCCCTCCCTGGCGCCTGGAGCGCACCGAGGGCGGCGCTGGCCGGAAGCGCCACCACAGAGAGGTCCAACGCAGTTCCGAGAAATGCGCGCGGACCATCGTTAGCACACGCTTCTGCAATTTTCTGTAAGAAGAGGCCCAAAGCCACACACAAACACATAGACACAAATCCAAGGATCCTTCCGTGTGTTCTTGATTTCCGTCTTCCCCTCCACTTCCCATATGCTCGTATTCTCTGGGGCATCGACAATTCTTCGTATCTGTGTGTTTTCCCGGGTGATGTTGTTCTTCGATGTACAGATCCCCCTGGACGGCACATCCCGAAAACTCCGCCACGACACCGCCAGGGCTGCCAGCTCACCTGGCTCGGCCTCGCGGGGACTGGTGGGGCCCGCGCCCTCCGGCATGTCGCGCCAGCCCGCGCGCACGCGCACCCTCGCACCACGCTGGGACCCCGGGGCAGGGGGTGGGGACGCGCGATCGATAAGGGGGAGGGGCTCGCGCGGGAGTGGTGGTGGGGGGAGATGAAGGGGCCCAGGGACACACACACACACACACACACACATAGATGCACACCATTTTCCCGGTGTTCGTCTTCCCCCCACTTCCCATAATTTCCAATATCTTCCTGTGGATCGACGCTTCATTGTGTCTGTGTGCTTTTCGCCTTCCTGGGGCGAGACCAACCCCGGCATCGGCGACGATGTAAATCTGCGACGAGCTCCCCAGCAGCGCAGCGACACCGCGCCTTCTTCTCTGGGGCACGGTGGGCACGCAGACCCCCGTCGCGGCCGCTCGGCGGCGACATTGGGAGAGGGGGGGGGGCCGCTGCCCAACCCCCGCTGGGCCCCCTGACATCGGCACCTCACTACCCATCGGTCGGAAGAAGTAGAAACATGAAGTAGGAAGGCGCTGAAAGCAGATTGGGTTCCGCCCGCCCCCGAAGTAGGACGGAAAAGATGAAGCCATTCGATCATTCCCTTTCTCCGACCTTGCGCCGCGCCGAACTCAACGGCCACGTTGTCCAAAGACGTATCCACTCCGAAAGTGTCAACGGACGTCACGGCGCCCAATGTGTCCGTAGACGCTGTTGGCCCGGAAGTGAGAACGGTATTTGGCCTCGGCCCCAGGTGTTGGCCCTCTGGAAGCAGGCAGGCGTGGCCCTCCAAATACCCCTGCAGCTGCTGCTGCGCCCATGCTAGCGCTCGCTCCGTCGTGCCCACCGCGCCGCTCGCCGGCGGCCCGCCGCTCCGGGAGGGGGTCGAGGAGGCAGCCCTGCCGCGCCAGGGCAAGCCTGAGCTGGATCGAATCGCGAAGCAGGATCGGATCGCAAACATGTCGGATCGCCAGCACGTCGTCCGAAATCGAGTCGGCATCGGATCGACGCGCCAGAATCGGGCTGGCCACGGCCGATACCCGCGATCCGAACAAGATAGAATCGAATCGGAATCGCGGCCCCAACCGGCGAATCGAATCGCACCGAATCGGATCGTAGGCGGCCCCTTCCCACCGGTCGCCCACCTCACCCGCCATCCACACTCACTCACTCATGGCGGTCGAAGTTAGGCCCATGGCCATGCACACCTCTCCTGCCCCTCCCACCCAGCGTGGACATGGGTGGGAGGGGGGGCTCATTAGGGAAAAGGTGAACAAAAACAGACGACGTGAAAGGCTCATTAGCGGACCCGCCATCCACTCCTCATCTCGGACGCACCGAGGGGGGGGGGGGGCAGAAAGAGGGGTGTGAGCGCATCATGGCCCGGACCATGTGCGCGGACGAGGGGTGGCTAGTACATTGAACGAGGGAGATGTGATGGTCCCAGCCATCATGTCTACACCCCAGAGTTCTCACCCCCCTCTTAGGAGGAGGAGGAGGAGGAGGAGGAGGAGGAGGAGGAGGAGAAGGACGAGGAGGAGGAAGAACGCCCCACGATCGTCGACCCCTTCCTTTGCCTGCCCGTGCCCCTCCCCGTGCGTGGCCGGGGCGTGCCCCGACGCGGCAAGGAGGAGGCGCCGCGCGCGAGGCCCGAGCGGACACGCCCGCCCACCAGCCAGACCCTGCGCGCGGGCTGCCGGGTCGGTGACGAGCGGTGCCGGGCATCGTCGCTGCTCCAACCGCTGCTTCGCGCGATTGAAAGAAGAAAAAGACGCCATAAACATAAACTCTTGGCGCTCCGCGCGGATCTCTGGGATCTGCGATGGACCCCCCTCCCTGGCGCGCTCCGCGCGCCAGGGGCGGCGCCTGAGGCGCAGCCGGGGGGCCCAACGCGGGTCCAAGAAATCCCCGCGGAGCGCCAAAAGTTGATGTTTATGAGTTTTGTCTTCTTCGAGCTTGGTCCAGCCCGGCGCCTGCATGCCGCTGCCGTCCGGCCCGGGCTGCCAAAGAGGGGTGGCCCCGGGCGCAGCTGGCCACCTCCCCCTGGCAGAGGGGGGCCTCTCCACAGGAGCCTGCCTGGGCCGAGCGGGCGGCGGGATGCGCGGCGTCTTCGAGTCGAGGGCCCCGAGTAGTGCACTGATTCGGCGGGTCTGGAGACTGCAGACCAGAGGCGGAGAGCGAACCTCTCCCACATGACTTTGGACGCACGAAGGAGAGGTGGGAACTCAAACAAACAAACGGGGGAGAATAGAGATACCTGATACACGGCATGCATAATGACAATGGAGTGCACGCACGTCGGTGAGCTGGACAGGCCAAGCTAATCTGCGCTAAATCTCAATCAACTGACAAAACCAAGGTTTCGGATGAAGCTGGCTACAGACCTACGAAGCATCCTGGACGACTGGCTTGCACACGATAACGAGGTTGGGTGTGGTGGGCGGGGTGTGCATACGTCCCATGGGTCTTCCAACGGACAGCCTTAATGTCAATTGTGTCGACGGCTTCATGGATCAATCAATCGGGGCACGCGTCGGAAGACCATCGATACACCAGTCGAAACACCCATCGAGTCACCGTCTCAGGTCAAGCGGGACGACATCGAACGTTCGCCGATCCCCGCCCACAGCAAAACCCTCGAAACCCAAGAAACCCACAGCACCCTGGAGGCAAGCAGGGTGCTTCTTGGCATGGGTTTCCACTGCACCCCTTTTCGTCAACGTTTTCTTCCTCGGCGTATCGACATTGGGCGGATGGGGGGGAGGGGGTGTCTGGTTCTGGACCTCTGTTTAATGGGACCGTTTGCAAAAGTGCGTCCTATGGGGGAGACCCCACCTGCTTGAAACAGTCGCCAAAAACAGCCAAGATCCACTCCACTGGGGAGGGAGGGGGAGGGGGTGTACGAGGATCCGCGCCGATCGGCAAAACAATGAATAAGAAGACTGTCACTTTCTTATCCCCGAGGTCGCCCGTTTGAGGGGGGGCGGGCGGGCGGGGGTGGAAGCTCATCAAGGCCCTGCCCAGCCTTAGGTCGGGCGTGTCCTCCCACAGGCGGGTTTTCGGCGAAAATGAAAAATAGTAAAAAGAAACAAAAAAACAATAATAATAAAAAAAGTAATCGAACAATCGTCCCAGACAATTTTTGACTATTTTTGAATGTTCCTCCTGTAGAGAGACACGCCCGACTTAAGCCCAGCCTCGCAGAGCCTCCCCAAATTCATTCGCCGGGCCCTGAAGATCCTCAAGGCGGGTCCAGATAGCCCCTAGACCGAGTGCCCCCCCACCCAAGGACACAAGTCGCCTAAGGTGAACGCTTTCAGATTCGACGTTTCGACATTGGGCGGAAGGGGGGGAGGGGCGGCTCTAGCTCCGGACCTCTGCTTAATGCGACTGCTTGCAACAGTGCGTCCTATCTGGGGGACTCCACCTGCTTGAAACAGGCGCCAAAAACACCCGAGATCTACTCCATGGGGAGGGGAGTGGGGGGGTGCGAGGGCCCGCGCCGATCGGAAAAAAATACAAGTAAGAAAACGATCACAAGTCCCTGCTGCTGTTGTGTATACTTGGGTGCCCCCACTTTCGAACTCAAGATGGCCCCACGAGGGACGTCCGAGGTCCCCCCAGTGGGTTCACGAGACCACCGAGAGGCTCAGACGGTCGAGGAGCAAATCCGGCCCCAGATCGCTCCAAGAGTGCCCCTCGATTTATGTTGCTCCCATCGCCCTTAAGGACCACATCCCAGAAATAATTTCGAGCACCCGGAAAAGTGTCGAAAGAGTGCCGAAACAGTGTCGGGCGAGTGTCTCCCAGGGCCCGACACGTGAAGACCCTCGAGTTTCGGTACTGTTTTCTGGTGCTCGAAATTCTTTCTGGTGATCCAGGCTAAAGTCGGTTGGAACATCATAACCCTCGATGTTGTTCGACGGCTCGAAGAGTTCCACATCCAGCCCCGAGACCCACGAGGGGCGCCGAAACACATCGGGAGGCCACACGCGGAGCTCAGGAAGATCATAATCAGATCCCAACGCGGCCACAACAGGGCTGGACCTACACATTGTTTTTCGTTTTGTTTTCGTTTTGTTTTTCATTTTGCTCCACTTGCTTTCCTGTACCTCCCTGCCAAAACGAAAAACAAAACACAGCCGAAGTCCAGCCAAACAGCGTTTAGGTCCAGCCCTGGTCCCCAACATAGACCCAGGCACCGCCCGAAACGGCTCCCTGGCAGTGAGCTGGCGGAATGTCGCAGGCCTCTGAAATCTACCGGGACGCCATCGGGACACCATCGACAAGCCAATCGGGACGCCCATCAGCACGCCATCAGGACACCCAGCATCTGGACACCATCGCACATACATGCCACCTTGACCAAGACAACCGATGGATAACATGAAAGCTCTACCAAAGCACCAATCGGGAGACAATCGGAAGCACGCGAAACACCGAGTGGCACCATCGACTATCAGTCGGGACATCCATCGACACACAAGTCGGAACACTCTTGAAACTATTGAAACTCGAGCGGGACGCCATCGGGACACCATCGTTCAATCAAACGGGACACTCATCGGGACACCATCTCACATGATGCTACGAATCATCGAACATCGATCGGCGCGCAATCAGGCACCATCGGAAACTCAATCGGAACAACCATCAAGAGTCCCATCGGGACAGTAATTGGAGAGACATTACGGGGAAGCCATCCCAAATCAATTGGGGCACCATCGTCGCCATCGACTATCAATCCAACCACCATCGGGACACCCGTCGGGTCCCGTCCGTCGAATCAGGATGGGGACACGTTTTCCCGCCCTTCCCCCTAGGGACCTAGGTAATTCACGCACAGCTTCAGACGCACGTCACGCACGACACGAGCACGAATCACGAATGCATGTTTTGGAGTGGCGTTAAAGAAACTTCCCATACACAAGTCTCCGAACAACTATAGTCAGAACATGCGTACCTAATCTAAGCGCAGACGACCAGATCAGAACGCCAAAACCAAGGCAAGATCTCCACTCCACATTCCTCTTCCTCCTCTCCCCTTCTCATCCTCCGCGTCCCTCCCCTCGTTTCCTCGCTCCCTCGCCTCTCCGCCCCTCCTGGGCCTCCTGAGCATCTCCCTCTCCTGCTTCTCCTCCTCCTCCTCCTCTTCCTCCTCTTCCTCCTCCTCGTCCTGCTCCCCATCCCCAAGGCCCAAGATCCTGGGGGGGGCCACGGGCTGCATTCACTGTTCCTTTGTGGGAGCTCCTGGGCCCACGCACCGTCCCCCCACGCATGCGAACTCAGAGACATCTGGGGGGCAAGCCTGGACAGCGACACCAGGTGGAGGGACGGAAACTGAAGGGAAAGGGGCGAGAGGAGAGGGGAGGGCAGAAAAAGAGGGGAGGGCGGAACAAAGGGAGAGCAGGAGAGGAGCGGACGAGAAGAGGAGCAGAGAGTGGAGACTGAGGGGGGAGGGGGCCTGGGATGGATGGGGAGGGCGGGGGCGAAGAGGGGGGAGGCGAGGCGAAGGGAGGCGAGGGGGGGGGGGAGGAGCGGGGAGGCGAGGCCGCAGGACGCACAGGCGCGGACGGAGAGCAAGAGGGGTGCAGAGAGGGCAGGGAACGGGGGTGAGAAAGAGCAGGGGCAGGAGCGCCGAGGAGGAGGCCTGCGAAGGGGGGCCGGAGAGCGCCCTGCTCTCTGGGGGGTCGGCCGCGTTCTTCCTTTTTCAGCCGCAGGAGGCGAGCCCGGCGTCGGATTTTTGCAGCACCCGTCTCTATTGACAGTGCTCTAGTGGCAGGCTGATGCATTGGGCCCACCCCCAGGGCAGGAGGCCTCCCAGGGGGGAACTTCGGATTAAGGCGCGGCGCTGTCGGCCCCATCCCCCCTCGAGCACCGAACGGTACTGCTGACTGCCGCGCCACCAGTGGAACGCGGTCTGGCCTCGCTCGCCTGCGCGATCTCTTATATGCCCATTGATCCAACTGCAGAACACACTCGTTGCACCGACGTATCAATCCTTCACGCTCACCCCTCCCCCATGTCCTCCCTTGCCCCACCCACGGCGCGGCTGCGAGCGAGGAAGGGGATAATGAGCGGCATGCGGGGTGGGAGCGTAGGAGAATGGGGGAGGAGTTGTGTGGGGGTGGGTAGAGGGACAAGGATGGTGAGCAACGAGGAAGATGCATGGATGTAGACAGAAGGGGGCGGGGGAGGGGGAGAGGAAGGACGCTGACAGGTGGGATGGACAGGGGGAACAGGAAGAGGGATTGGGGATGTGGGCGGAGGAAAGGCCTGTGAAATGGGGGGAAGGATTGAAAGCAAGCTAGGTGCGCTCACGCAATAGTGATTGGGCCCTGGGACACACAAATAAATGGACACAAATAACAAGATTCCCCATGTGTTCCAATATTTTATGTTTTTTTATCTTCCCCCCCCACTTTCCACAGTTTCCCATATTTTCGTTGGAATCGACGATTCATTGTGTCTGTGTTTTTCCCCTCCCGAGTAACATCCTAACCCTCCCACTGGATCCTTCCAAGTGCGCCGAAGGTGTTCTTTATCCGCCGACGGGTGTCACAACGGACATCGATCCCCTCAAGGACACCATCGTGTGATGTTCGATCGGCAAGGGGGTAGGTGTGTACCCCGAAGGAGGAGGAGGAGGAGGAAGAGGCGGAAAAGGAGGAGGAGGAGGAAGAGGAGGATGAGAAGGAGGAGGATGAGGAGGAGGGGGGGGAGGAGGGAGGAGGCGGAGGAGCATTTTTACAGTGCGCCGCTGCCAACCAAACCCCAAGGAGGTGGAGGAGGAGGAGGAGGAGGAGGAGGAGGAGGAGGAGGAGGGGAAGGAAGAGGACGAGAAGGAAGAGGAGGAGGAGGAGGAGGAGGAGGAGGAGGAGGAGGAGGAGGAGGAGCTGTGTACCCTAGAAGAAGAAAAGGAAGAGGCGGAGGAGGAGGAGGAGGAGGAGGAGGAGGAGGAGGACGTTTGTGGCGGCCGCCGCGCGGTGCAGAGAACGGGCACACGAGAGAGAGAGGGCCTGCAGTGGCAGCCCCTCTGCGCCCTGAAGAGGCGGCGCGCCCCTCCCCCAAAGGATCG